CTGTGGCTCTGGACACTGAGATTCCCAGTTGTCACTCTCCCTGGAGCAAGGCTGGGATCAGTGATGCCCCCCAAGAGCTCAGGGAGATGCTGCTGCTGGGCTTCTGTTACCTCTGCACAATCCCTTTTGGATTCCTGAGTGCTGTAGCTGCTCCTGCTGATAATTTGGTGTTAATTACCGTTAATTTCCCCCCAGAACTTCCATACAACGACTACTTTGAGTACTTTGGGCCAGACTTCAAGCTCCACATCAGCCCCTCCAACATGACCAACCAGAACACCAACGAATACCTGGAGAAAATCAAGTGAGCCTTGGGGGAACAACCCTTGCAGGGGGGCTGGTGGCCTTGGGTGGCCCCTGGTGACAAAGTGTCCTTCCCTGGCTGGCTCTAGGCAGAGGCTCTTTGAGAACCTGAGGATGCTCCCTCACGCTCCCGGGGTCCAGATGCAGCCAATTCCTGAGGATGCTGTGCAGGAGGACAGCGGGGATGAGGAGGAGGATGATCCTGAAAAACGCATTTCCAGTAGGTGCTGGGGGTGGAAAGCCCCTGGTGACAAAGTGTCCTTCCCTGGCTGGCTCTAGGCAGAGGCTCTTTGAGAACCTGAGGATGCTCCCTCACGCTCCCGGGGTCCAGATGCAGCCAATTCCTGAGGATGCTGTGCAGGAGGACAGCGGGGATGAGGAGGAGGATGATCCTGAAAAACGCATTTCCAGTAGGTGCTGGGGGTGGAAATGTGCTGGGAATGGAATTGTGCTGGGAATGGTGCTGGGAAAAGCCCAAAACTGAGCAGGATCCATGAGCAGCTCTTCATGAGGAGGATGTAGGGTTTAAATCCAATTCTGACTCCAGGATTTAGCCGCCTTGGTTTGTGGGGACACCCAGAGTCAAAGCCTTGGGCTGGAGCTTTGTGGCTCCCCCAAAAACCCCGGGGAGGAGCTGGAGCTTCACTCAGGCTCTGCCCAGGGTTTTCACTCCTGTTTTAACCTCTCTGATCTGAGTCCATTCCCACCTCCCTGCAGGATTTGTGTGGGACAGAGCACTGCAGGATCTCTCCTGTCAGGTGAATTCCATAATGGGAAAACCTTTGGTTGTCAAGGGAGAATTCCAGCAGTAGCTGAGGGCTGGGACAGAATCCTTGGCAGAATCCTGGGTGTGATCCCAGCAGTGAAAAATGGAGTTTTCTCTCCAGCTTGGCCCTTGGGTTCTGGCAGTGGGAGGCTGGTTCTAAACCTGCTCTCAGGTCCAGACATCCCACTGTGCCTGATCTGGGATGTCCCCATGATCCTGGAGCAGGTGGGAAGGGATGAGTTCAACATGCAGCAGGTACCACAAAAAGTGATTTGATCATGGCCTAATCCTCATTTCTGTGAGCTCCACTCAGAGAATTCATGCTGGGAGCCTCCTGAAGTTGAAAATCTGCTCAGCCAAGCTCTGTGCTCTCCCCTTCCAGTCCGAAATTCCAACAAGAGAATCTCCTGTGACGAGGAATTCTCCGACTCCGAGGACGAGGGGGAGGGAGGGCGCAAGAACGTCGCCAACTTCAAGAAAGCCAAACGTGTGAAGGCAGAGGAGGAGAAGGAGGAAGAGGAGAAGAAAGGTGAGCAGCACAGCTGGCACCTCCTGCCTGGAATTCTTCCACAATTTGGGTGGCACTTTGGGTGGGTTTGTCACAGGTTCCTCACTGGAAGAGGTTTGCAGGTGTTGAGAGGGTTGAAAAATCAAACCACTGCTCTTTCCTTCAGCAATATATTAAAAAAATTAATTAAATTAAATTAAATTTTAGCTGAAAATGAACCAGATAAGCAACACTTATAAGCCTTGTTGTTCGATCCAAACCCAAAATGTTGATTTAAGCCAAATCCTTCTCTTTTTTTGCTTCCCCAGGGTGAAGGAAGAGACAAAATCCACCTGAGTGGCTGCAGCTGGCTGGTTGTCATAGGTTTAGCTCCTGGGTTGCCTCCTCCCCACAGGATTTCTATTTTATATATGTTTTCTGTATATATTTCTATATAATTGTATAAATGACTGGAGAACTGTAAATTATTCCTTGCTGCACTCCACTGGGAGGCCAAATCCTTCTCTTTTTTTGCTTCCCCAGGGTGAAGGAAGAGACAAAATCCACCTGAGTGGCTGCAGCTGGCTGGTTGTCATAGGTTTAGCTCCTGGGTTGCCTCCTCCCCACAGGATTTCTATTTTATATATGTTTTCTGTATATATTTCTATATAATTGTATAAATGACTGGAGAACTGTAAATTATTCCTTGCTGCACTCCACTGGGAGCAGGCAGGGGAGGATTCTGAGCAGCCCAGCTTTGGTGACCAGGGAGTTTCACCCTTTGCCTTCCACTGCCCCTCCTTGGTGTGGCTCTAAAAACACAAAAATCACTTCCTCCCCTTCCCTCTCTCCTGAAATAACCTTGGAAAAGAATAATTTAAGTAGAAGTAGTGTCTGCATTTCAGGTTAGGTGGAAAGATGGCCATCAATTCTTGCTTTTCCTCGATTTTTTTTTTGGTGTTATTTCTTAATGGGAGAATTCCCAAATGAAGCCTGGGAGAGACTTTTGTGGTTTCCAGTTGGATTCCACCACGA